CTCACAGAAAAATAGAAACCCTAAAGAACAAAAAAAAAAAAAAAAAAAAAAAAATCCAGATTTTCCAAAAATTAAATCTTCTAAAACCAAAAATTTGATGTAATTGATAAAATTGATTCATCGCCCAGCCCTAGTGGAAGCCAACCCAAAATTGGGCAAATTCAAAGAAATGCTGTGAAATATGTGGAGTGGTTACCTGGAAAAGGAGAGCTAAAAACTTTTCAGTAAATAAAAGTAGACTGTAAAATTTTTACGAGAACCCTTGCTGAACAACTTCACAGTTTTGTAATCTTTTAAAGTAGCTTTCAGGCTTTTCGAGTTGTTTTTCCGTCTCATTTAAAGGGGCAACCACTCCAGACATTTCATGGGTCGACCTCGATTGTCGACAAACGGAGCTCACAGTCAGCAGAGTCTGCATTGCAAGTGGAAAGAGTTTGCACCTTGGAAAAACAAATTAAAGCATCCCAACCCTGTCTGGAGAACACGGATTTTTAGGACACAAAACAAACCAGTTTTCTTCCCACAAAACATGAAAATAAAACATCTGACAGCAACAAGAGGAGAAAACCCCTGAAGGAGTCCAGAGAGGAAGGGTGGCGACAGCTCAAACAAATGAGGTGAAAAAGATGTTCACTTACATTCCTTCAACTGTGTCCATACTAAAAAAAAAAAAAAAAAACACACACAAACACACACAGCATGCAATGATGAGGTCATGCGCTTGAAACAAAAACACTAAGTCATTAAATGCAATGTGTGACATGGAGCTAATTTCTTACTGCAAATGGAAAACAGAAAAAGTGTCACATTAACAGCAGTGCACACATATTTAGCTGTGTGTTAGAATCAGCAGTGTGTTACCTACAGTCAGTTAGCTTAGACTGTTAGCTGTTCGATTGTGTTTCTCACTATAGCAAAACTTATTATATGCAAAAAGCATGAGTAAGCAGCAACAAAAACCGTCTCAAACCTCAAATATCAGCACCATGTTTCACCTGGAAACTTGCTCAGGTCCAGAACACGACAATAAGCGTCAGATTTAGGTAAATGCGGTAATGACAAACTTTAATGCGGTGAAGCTGGGACTTACTTGGTGGACAGCTGTCCTTTTGCTTTGTTGTTGTCCACGCCGTTGTAGGTGACAGCAGCCAGCTTCCTGCTGCGGTAGTTTTCATAGTGGACGTTGTTGGTCACGTCCTTCAGGTCCTGCATGTGAGTCCTGGCAACAGAATGTTAATACGAATTACCGTATTTTCTGGACTATGAGGCGCACTTAAAAACCTTTAATTTGATCAAAAAAATTACAGTGCCCCTTATATATGGTTCTGGAGCAACACAGCGCCCTCTAGTGAATTAATATGGATTAATTCTGGCTTACTGACCTCCAAGCGACTTTGTGTGGTACATGGCGTCTCTCGAAATGTTTTAGTTACATTACAGCTGCTATAGTGAGCGAAGTAAAACGTACTGCGTTTTGGCTGACTGACTTATCTGACTGTTTTGTTTTGCTTGAGGCACCTTATAGTCCGGTGCCTTTATATGTGAAAAAAAATCCAAACTAGACCACAAATTGAAGGTGCACTTTATAATCCAGTGTGCCCTATAGTGCGGAAAATACTGTAATAATATATTTGGAGGTCATTATTTGAAACAATGCAAGAAAAAAAGCCAAATTTAGGGTTTCTTTTCCCATATTTTAGAAATTCAAGGATTAGTAGTACGAGTACTTTATCATAAAATTTCTACATAACATTCCCCTCAATATATAAAAAAAACAAACATCTCTTTGCATCAATTATTGACACCTTGAACAATCTAAATAACCTTAACAAAACGGTCTTCCTGTAGCTTCAGTACCTGATGAGCATGTCCCTGAGGATGGTGAAGTCACAATGGTCGCTGTTTTCAACTAACAGGAAACAATAAAACATTTGTGATAAAACTATCAGGGTTAAAAAAGAAACAACTTTAGATACCAAATATCTTGTTAGGATATGATAAAAGTTAGTTTTGATCAAATTGTTAATGTCTAGCTAAACAGTCTCACCTTCTGCAACCCCCCAGGGGTATTGTCTTCCCCTCACCCTCTTGCCGTTCACCTCGATGATGGTGTTGCTTCCCACCACAGCCAGCGGCAGCTTGTCCTGGATGAAGAAGGCGATTAATCAAAGAAAGCTATCAGAAGCACAGAAATGTGAGTTTGCATCACTGCTACACTCTGGTACACAAGCATGAGGATTTTACAGATAACGTACTTTAATTTTCTTCACCAGCCTGTTCTCCTCTTCGTCATCCGTCTCAGGAAACTCGTAAATCTTGATTTTGTGCTCTTGGATTTCTCTCATGATCTAGATGTAAAATGGATCATGTTAAAGGCAGACACCTCTGAGGCGGTACTTATACTTTGATAGATGTTTTGACACATTTTCTCAAGTTTGAGGAAGTTAAGCAAGTCTGTCACATTCGCTCTTTTTCAATTTATGCATCTTCTGTTATGTATAAGTTTTATTCTTGCACATCCAAGTTCCTTTTTTAATTTGTTTTTTTCCACAAACTTGGGTTATAAGTCTCTAATTGGTGACAAATAATCTAGTTTATGTTTTTCTTAATTTGTCTAAAAATATTTTGTCCCACAAATAATTTTTACTTATGAGGATTTTTGTGATAATGTCAAATTGGAGGCTTCAAACGTTGTGAATCTTGTAGTGGATCTGAAGTGAAACCGATTAAAATATTCTTTAATGAAACAATAAAACGAGGAAAGAAACTTTGAAAACTGGCAGCCTGATGTTAACTCTTTGAAAAAAGCTCAGATATATAAATAATAATAATTTCATGTATTTATATTTTCAAAGCACTGCTGTCAACTATACTAACATTTTAACTACAGTGGAAGTAAATTTGCTCCAACAGGTAAAGTTTGTCTTGAAAGTCATTGTAGAGTAAATAATATATTATAACATTGCTATAAATATTGTAAGGCTCTGGATTAACGAAGCAAAAAATTCAAATGTTAAACCAAATTTAGTTCCAACTGATTAAACCTTCTTTTTGTGTTGCAGTTTTGTCACTTATCAGTTAGTTGTGAGTTGAGCGATAAGATCAACTTTAGATGAACTCATTCATCGATAACATGATAGATCAGTTTGTATTTTAGTTCCACTCCAATCTGAACCCAAACTTAACTAGTTTCTTTACAATAAATCACAGAAAAGAAAACCACCAGATATCAATGTAGAGATAGACAGACGCTACACTAAACTGATGCATCGTCTATTTGATGTCGCTTTGTGATGAAAAACATTGGGTCTGTACCAAAGAGCCTTATTTAGAGGGGGGTTTTCCGTCTGCCTGCAGCTGTGGAAACCACTGACCTGCTTCTTGAACTGTTGGCATTCTTCTGGGGTGAGAGTGTCTGCTTTGGCGATCAGCGGGATGACATTGACTTTTTCATGCAACCGTTTCATGAACTCGATGTCCAAGGGCTTCAGTCTGCAGAAACATGAAGTTGCAACCGTCACCGGCCCATTTTATCTGATTAACTGTGCAGAGGAATCATCAGCTTTGTGCAGCTTACACTGCAAAAACACAAAATGTTAACAAGTAATTTTGGTGTAGCTTCTAGTGCAAGTATCTTAGTACTAAAGTAACTTAGTGTTAGTTTAAATAACTTTTCAACAAGATAAGGGATCTTGTTTTAAGTAAATAATTCTTTAAAATTCTCGAAGAACTACCAGATTCATTGGCAAATAAATTCACTTATAACAAGACATTTTCACTTCAGCTATAAGTGAAGTAATCTACCAATAGAACAAGCACTTTTTCATCAACATTCAGGACTCAAAACAAGATCCTATATTTTGCTGAAATTACTTATAAGTTAGTTATGTCTTATTTCAAGTGTGCAAAGATATTTGCACTACAAACTAGACCAAAAATACTTGGTAATATTTTGTGTTTTTGCAGTGTAGATAATAAAACAAAATCGATCTCATTGAAGGACAGCTTTTGGGTTTATGAAGGAAGACAGTTTCTTGGAAACTCCACTAAGAACAAAGATAAAATGACTTAAACCAAATAAAGAAGTCTGCCTGATGTTTGCTATGTCTATGAAACGACCTTAAAGTCATGAGAAAGAACTGCTGCTCTCAGCTGTAAAAATAACCTTTGACAAGGCTGTATTATTGAGTTACACCTATGAATTTCTCTTACTCATTTCTAAAATTTGATTTTCTTTTAATCTGTGTGTGGCTGCAGTAGAAATGTCTCTCTGAGTTAAACTCTGACCAACAGCTGGAGTCAAAGTTTCAAGAGGATGATGGTGAAATGTCCAGCATTCAACTATAAATCTGGATAAAACAGGTTTATTCTCAAAAAGCTTCTTGTAGCAGCAACAAAACGAACACCTAGTATCTCATAGGGACAGTTAGCATTCATGTGCAGCATCATAGTGAATTTACTAAATGCTATAATGCACTAAAAAAGAGAAATGGTTACAGCTAGCTCATCTACATCGTCACTGCCTTGTTGCAATTTTCCATTGCCTGGTTGCTGATAAAATGCTGTATAAATAAAACGTCTTCCTCTTCCAAAATCGAAAGAATCAAACTAAAATTGGCTGAAAAATTTACTATTTTGATCACTGACTAATTTAACCAAATTTCAAAATAATCATCAACTAACTTAGTAATTTATTAATCGTTAACCGGAGCATACGAACTCTAAAACAGGTCATTTGCTGAAAGTACAACACAGTCAGAGCAGTAATTAAGTAAAAACTGTAAAAAATATAAATATTTTGCATTAAAATAAAATAAAACCTGTCTGTAAGTATTTTGTACCCAGACTTAGCTTCATGCGGTAGACCTGTCACGATAACAAATTTTGCTGGACGATAAATTGTCCAAGAAGTTTTTGTGGTATTTGATAAAACTGTTGTTTTGAGGATTTTCAAGTAATAAAACGGTTGATTCTCAAAGATCAACAGACTTTAAATTCAGATTAACATTTAGCACTGGAACTGGAAGACATTTTAAATACCCCCCCCCCAAAAAAAAACATAAAAAAAAAAAAAAAAAAAAAAAAAAAAAAAAAAAAAAAAAAAAAAAAATAATTATAAAATTTTTAAAAAAA